CGGCCTGCCGCTGGCGGTGCAGCTCGTCGGCCCCAGCGACGGCGACGCGGGCCTGCTCGCGGCCGCCGCCTGGCTGGCGCCGCTGCTGGCGTGAGCGCGCGCGCCGTCCCGGCGCGCGCCCCTAACCGGCCAGGTGCGCGACCATGCGCTCGAGGATCGCCGTGGGCTGGCGGTAGCGCTCGAGCGTCGCGCGCGCCGCGGCCGCCTGGGCCGGCGTCAGGCGGCTGCCCTCCGCCTGGTCGATCACGTCGGCCAGGTAGGCCTTCGAGAACTCCGGATGGAACTGGTAGGTCAGGATCGGCGCGTCGTAGAGGAAGCCGCCGTTGGGGCAGAAGTCGTTGCCGGCGATCCGCCGGGCGCCGGAGGGCGCACGCAGCACCTGGTCCTGGTGGAACACCGGCACCTCGTCGCGCGGCGCGTGATGCGCCTCCAGATCGTAGGTCTGCACACCCACGCCCCAGCCGGCCTCGGCCTTGCGGACCTCGCCGCCGAGCGCGGCGGCGATGATCTGATGCCCGAAGCAGATGCCGACCTGGGGCCGGTCGCGCTGCGCCATCACCCGGATCTCCTCCATCAGCGGGCCCATCCAGGGCAGCGCGTCGTAGACGCCGTAGCGCGAGCCGGTCAGCAGCAGCCCGTCGAAGCCGCGCAGCTCGCCCGGCGCGTCGCCGGCGATCGGCGAGACCACCTCGAAGGACAGCCGCTTGCCGGCGATCGGCCGCAGCAACTCGGCGAACATCTGCGGGTAGCTGCCGTGCACCGGCGCCAGGCGTTCCGAGACCGGACCGCATTCGACGATGGCGATACGCCGCATAGGGCTCTGTTCCTCCATTCCAATCGGGCCGCTTCCGTGCGGGGCCGGGACGCCACCAGATAGGGAGTGGCGGCCGGACTGCCAAAGACTTCACGCCGCATGGCCGGAATGCTGCCAGCCCCCTGTCGGGCGGCTGCGCCGCGGCCGCGGCCAGGGTAGACTTGCCGGCCGGAGCTGTCGGCCTGCTCCGGGGCGAACGGGACTGACGTGATGGCGCAGACAAACGGCGAGGACTGGCGCGAGTTGGAGATCGTAGCGCGCGCCCGAGACCTGGGCGACGGGTTCCGGGTCCGCCGGGTACTGCCCTACGCCAAGCGCCGCCTGGTCGGGCCCTTCGTCTTCTTCGACGAGATGGGCCCGGTCGACCTGGCGCCCGGCCGGGGCCTGGACGTGCGCCCGCACCCGCACATCGGCCTGGCCACGGTCACCTACCTTTTCAGCGGCGAGATCCTGCACCGCGACAGCCTGGGCTCGCAGCAGCCGATCCGGCCCGGTGCGGTCAACTGGATGACGGCGGGGCGCGGCATCGTGCATTCCGAACGGACCCCGCCGGCCGCCCGCCGCAGCGGCCAGCGCCTGCACGGCCTCCAGACCTGGGTCGCCCTGCCGTTGGCCGACGAGCGGTGCCCCCCGGCCTTCGCCCACCATCCGGCGGAGACCCTGCCGGAGCTGAGGGGCGAGGGTCTGCGGCTGCGCGTCGTCGCCGGCCGGGCCTTCGGCCTGGTCTCGCCGGTCGAGGTCTTCTCGCAGACGCTCTATGCGGTGGTCGAGCTGGCGCCGGGCGCGCGCCTGGAGGTGCCGGCCGAGCACGCCGAGCGCGCGGTCTATCCGGTCAGCGGCGTGCTGGAGATCGCCGGCACGCCCTGCCCCGCCGGCGCCCTGCAGGTCCTGCGCCCCGGAGGTGCCGTCACCCTGCACGCGCTGGAGGCCACCACCGCGGTGCTGGTCGGCGGCGCGCCGCTGGAGGGCGGGCGGCACATCTGGTGGAACTTCGTCGCCAGCGATCCGGCGGTGATCGAACGGGCCAAGGCCGACTGGCGCGCCGGGCGCTTCGATCCGGTGCCCGGCGACCCGGAGTTCATCCCCTTGCCGGAGTAGCGCCGGCCAGAACGGCGGCCGCCACCGGGCCAGACGCCACACGAAAGATTTGCAGTTCCCCCCGCCGGGCGCCACGATGGCGCGCACGGCTCGGCCCGTCACGTTTACCGAGACTTATAGCTTTGCGCGGACCCTTCGAATCCGATGCAGAGAGTCTGACGTCGAAACCGCACGAGTTGCCCCCCTTGCGCGTAAAGGGAGCCCGGTGCCGCCACGATGATCCTGCCCGCCTCAGATCTGCGGCTCGACCACTTCAAGCGGCCGCTCTGGGTCTTCGACATGGAGGCCTGGCGGGTGGTCGACGCCAACGCGGCCGCCGTCGCCTTTTGGGCGCGGCGCAGCAAGGCGGAGCTCTTGGCGGCCGATTTCTCCGACCTGTCTCCGGCGGCGCAACGCCGGCTCGACGGCTATCGCCACCGCTTCGAGAAGGGCGAGAGCATCGAGGAGGAATGGACCTTCTATCCCGATGACGGCCCGGTCCGCGCCCGCTGCCTGGCCAGCCCGGTGACCCTGGACGACGGGCGCATCGCCATGCTGGTCGAGGCGGTCAGCCTGGACACGCCGCCGGTCGAAGGCGTGTCGCGCTCGCTCGAGGCGCTGCGCCACGCCGGCGCCGCGATCGCCATGTTCCGCGCCGACGGCGAATTGATCGTGGCCAATCCGGCGGCCGAGACGCTGCTGGGGCTGAATGAGGCCGGCGGGGTGCGGCTGCAGACGCTTTTCGCCGATCAGGAGGCCGGCCGGCGGGCCCTGGGGTGGGCGGCCGGCGGCGCCATCTTCGACGACGAGGTGGTGCTGCGCTCGCGCCTGGGCGAGCGCTGGTTCGCGTTGCGCATCCACCCGGCCCACGATCCCGTCACCGGAGAACGCGCCTTCTCGGTCTCGGCGAGCGACGTCCACCGCCGCCGCATGGCGGAGGAGCGGCTGAGCGAGAGCGAACGCGCCCGCCAGCAGAGCGAATCCCACGCCCGCGAGCTGGCCACCGCCCAGCGCCGCGCCACCGAGGCGGAGTGGATCCTGCGCGAGGCCATCGAGAGTCTGAACGAGGGCTTCCTCCTGGTCGGCCGCGACGACCGGATCGTCCTGGCGAACCGGCGCTATGCCGATCTCTACCCGGCGGTGGCGCACCTGCTGCAACCCCGCGTGCCCTTCCGCGACCTCGCCCGCGCCTTTGCCGAGGCCGAGGGCATCACCGATGCGCAGGCGCTCGAAGCCTGGGTCGATTGGCGGGTCCGCGCCGTGCGCGAGCAGAAGATCCATAGCTGGGAACAGCCCTTAAAGGACGGGCGCGTGTTCCTGGTCAACGAGCACCAGACCGCCAGCGGCAACGTCGTCAGCCTGCGCACCGACATCACCTCCCTCAAGCAGATCGAAGCCCGGCTCAGCGAGCGGGTCACCGCCATCGAAGCCGCCAACGACGGCATCGCCATCACCGACGCCGACGGGCGTTTCGTCTACATGAACCCGGCGCATGCTCGGATCTTCGCGGGCGAGCCCGACGATTTCCTCGGCGACTCCTGGCACACACTCTACGACCCGGACGAGCTGGCGAAGTTCAGCGACGAGGTCTTCCCGGCCATGGCGCGCGACGGGAACTGGCGCGGCGAGGTGACCGGGCGCAGGCGCGACGGCGCGCCGGTGCCGCAGGAGATCTCGCTCAGCCGGCTGGACAACGGCGGACTGCTCTGCGTCAGCCGCGACATCAGCGAGCGGCGCGCCGCCGAGACCGAGCGCGCGCGCCTGCAGCACCAGCTCTTCCAGTCGCAGAAGATGGATTCGCTCGGCCGCCTGGCCGGCGGCATCGCGCACGATTTCAACAACATCCTGGCCTCCATGCTGGGCTACGCCGGCTTCCTGGTGGAGGACCTGCCGGAGGGCAGCGAACAGCGCCGCTTCGCCGAAGCCGTGGTCGGGGCCGGCAAGCGGGCGCAGGATCTGATCGGCCAGATCCTCGCCTTCGGCCGCGCCGGCGAGCGTGCGAGCGAGGCCGTCGACCTGGGCGAGGTCATGGCCGAAACCGAGCAGCTTCTGCGCGCCACGCTGCCGCCCTCGGTCACGCTGGAGACCAACTTCGAGGGGGCGCGGGACCTCGCGGTCCTGGGCGACCGCGGCCAGTTGACCCAGGTGTTGATGAACCTGGCGGTCAATGCCCGCGACGCGATCGGCGACGCGCAAGGGCGCATCGTCTTCACCCTGTCGCACGGCCCGCCCCATTGGCCCGACTTCGGCCAGGAGATCACCGCCCAGGAGATCACCGCCCAGGAACAGCTTCTGGAAACGAGCGCGCACGGGACAACACGACTCTGGCTGGGCCGCCCGCCCGCCGGCGAGGCGGTGATCGAGGTGGGGGTCGAGGACAGCGGCTGCGGGATGACGCCGCAGATCATGCAGACGATGTTCGAGCCCTTCTACACCACCAAGAAGCGCGGCCGCGGCACCGGCCTGGGGCTGGCCGCGGTCCACGGCCTGGTCGCCAGCCACGGCGGCGCGATCGCCGTGGAAAGCCGCATCGGCGCCGGCACGCGCTTTCGCATCCTTTTGCCCCCCGCCCCGGAGGCTGCGGACGCCGCCATGCCGGAGGCGGCCCCGGCGCCGGCCGGGCGCCAGCGCATCCTGGTGGTCGACGACGAGGCGGAGGTGCGCGAAATGCTGGTCACGGCGCTGCAGCGGCGCGGTTTCGACGCCGTGGCCGTGGAGAGCGGCCTGGCGGCGCTGGAGCTGCTGGGCCGCCGGCAGTTCGATGCCGTCATCAGCGACCAGACCATGCCCCGCATGTCGGGCCTGGATCTCATGACCCGCATCCACCGGCATCGCCCCGGCCTGCCGGTCATTCTCTGCACCGGCTACAGCGAAACCCTGGACGCCGACGCCGCGCGCCAGGCCGGCGCCGCCGCCTTTCTGCGCAAGCCGATCGCCGCCGACAGCCTGATCGACACCCTGGCCCGCCTGCTCGGCGAAAAGGTGGCCGAATAGGCCGAATGCCAACCGGGCGCGGCGGCTTCACGCCTCCTGAAAGACCGCGCCCGCCAACAGCATGTCGACGCAGGCACCGTCGCGCGACAGCGGGAGCAACAGCCGCTCGTAGAGGTAGCGTCGCGCATCCGGGCCGATCACGTCGTTGCGGCGCAGCACCGGGCGCCGCTCGAAAACGGCGGTTTCATAGTCGGGCAGGATCCGCGGCCAGTCCCGCCCGAGATAGCCGTCCTCCACCCGCAGCCCCGTGGTGTCGCGCCCCATGTAGGCCACCAGGGCGGTGCCGACCAGGCGATAGCGCAGGTCGAAGGGGTCGTGCGTCACGTCGATCAGCATGAGGTTCGGCAGCAGCCGCGGGATATCCACCGGATCGAGTGCCGCGCGCGCGGGCAGCGCCCCGCCGACGCAGCGCGCCCGCCAATAGGCATAAAGCTCGCGCAGCAACGGCTGCTGCAGGTGCGCGGGATCGAACCCCGCGTAGCCGGCCGGTCGCGGCGGCGCCGTCATCTTACAAGCCTCCCAGCTCGCGCGCCCGCCGTGCCAGCCCCAGGAAGGCGGCGTCGGGATGGACCACCAGACGCAGCGGCACCGCCTCGAGATAGCCGCGCAGGCGCCCCTTGGCGAGAAAGCGCGCGTAGAGGGTCGAGGCCAGCAACTCCGGCACCAGACGGGGAAGAATCCCGCCGGTCAGGTAGACACCGCCGCGCGCGCCGAAGGTCAGCGCGACGTCGCCCGCGACCGTCCCGAGAAAGCCGAAGAACGCCTCAAGCGCCTCGGCGGCGGCCCGCTCGCCCCGTCGGGCGGCGGCGGTGACCGTCGCGGCGGTGGCCGGGCCGCCGCCGTGGAGTTCATAGAGGGCCGCCAGCCCCGCGCCGCTGAGCACCCGCTCGGCCGAGACATGGCCGTAGCGCGCGCGCAGGCGCGCCAGCACGGCCGCCTCCGCCTCGCTCGCCGCCGGCAGGGTGACGT